TCGGGACTAACATATGGTCCAATTTTATTCCAATACTTCGCTTGTGTTTAGCAGTGGGAGGAAACCGGAGGACCGGAAGAAAACCCCCGAGATTGGAATGTAATGTACAGACAGGTGTGGTTTTCTTTGTGATTTGGAGGTTTTGGCTAGAGAAAGTGTAGCAAGTTTACACGTGTACAATCTACAGTCCGAGGAAGATACACTGCTTTGGACAATGAAAGACGTGTTTTTTACGTCCACATGAAATATGCCGACCGGACGTCCGCCCATCCACAATTTGTTTGTGGACACTCTACAGGTCACAATTTTTATTTGGACGAGACTTGAATCCTTACGATATTGGCATGTATCTGACCATAACTTCATGGATTATGGCCCCTGATTGTACGAAAATTCACGTTTTTAGCTTGTGGACAATCTAGAGGTCATAATTTTCATCTGATGTTGATGACACTTGAAATACATGTTTATAACCCAAAGATCGTGGTTCCTTTCGCTATTTGCTCATATCGGATTGTAACTTCCTGGTTTATGGCCCCTGATTGTGCGAAAAAAAGCTTCTGTTTTTTTAGCTTGTTTTCTATCCATCTCTTGCAAAATGTGGGCGTATCTTGCATGGAAACCACTTGTCTATGGGATGTAGAAGTTTTGTTTTTTAAGTCATCTGTCCCGATGCATTGTTTGATTTCGTAGTTTTATCCAGTATCAAATCGTATCTTATACAGTCAGTATAACCGATTGTAATTCAAGATGGCAGAGAAGGAAGTGTGCCGTATTTCAATATCTTTCAACAACTTGTAATAATCGACTGTCAACATTCGTTCTTTTCCATCTGTTTAAAAGATTATATGAACCAAACCTTCACTACAAAGTTAAAAATAATAAGGAAGTTTACACGAAAGTTTACTAAAAAGGGGTAACACCTAGCCTTTAGTGGTGTAAACCAATAACACTCTACTGGTGTAGAACGTTACATCAATTCAAGTGGAAACTAGTTGCCACTTCCAATAGTGTAGCCTGTCTGATGCACTCAGACAGTGTAATGTTACATATAAATAGTTTACACTATGGGTGGAGATATCACTTATGTGGAAGCCAACGATTTCTTAGTTCAGAAAACTTGAAATTGGTTATCGGTCTCCATGATAATTAGTATAGGGCGTTTAGCCCGACCCAGATTACATATAGACCGTCGGCTTCAGTGCTTCATTTTACAACGACATTAAATTGACAAATAACCATCAGACTGATTCAAATTCAACTGCTGTTGGGGAATTAGATAATCTGCATCAATTTACAATGAATATAAATCACGAGGGAAAATCAATACATATATCCTTACAACTTAGCTGAAAATGTGGTTTATTCATTTATGCACCTCACCTGAATCAATAATTATTAATAATTAAGATATTGTACTTGGTAATATTTTGGAACATTTACACGCCTTTAAGTGTATACCCGCTGAAATAATCTATCGTTATGAGTAAACGCCATATTTTACAAAAAAAACCCACTTAAATTGGAGTACACAAATATTTTTGTAACGTAAGATATGGTGTAAAATTGACACTTTATTCGGAAGAATGTTTCCCTAAAATAATTACACCTGTTGGTGTAAATGCAATAAAACGCTTGTGCAGGGGTAGCTCACCCCAAACACACTTTAGCGGCTACAATTACACCTACCCTGTTGTTCAGTACTCATGAATATCGATTACACTTTTGCAACCCAATAAACGCTGTCAAATAAACGCTGCTCTATAATTTATTCCCCAAAATAGTTACACATTTGGCGTAAATGGAGTATAACACTGGTAGTGGTGTAGCTTATCCAAGACACGCCACAATTACACCTATTCAGGTGTTCAGTAGTCATGAATATCGGTTATACTTGTTAGGGGCAGGTCTCTTAGTTGGTTAACCTTGGAAAGGTATTACATTTAAAAAAAACGCTAGATGTGGATTAAAGTTTACACTTAATTAACACTGCTCACAGTTTTTATTTACACTCATTTTTAACAGTGTAGAGATTTGGTCGAATGCCAATTATGCCGTAGTTTTAGGAATCTCAGAGACCGGATCTGGATAGATTTAAACCTAAACCGATCAATATTCCCCAGTGTGATATATGCAGTGAAGAAACATGTCAATACATATGTCGAGACAGTGATCAATATTTATGTAAATCATGTAAAACCATGCATGATCAGTTAAAAAATCTTCTAAAGACCATATTGTTTGTCAAAATAAAGAAAAAACAAATCCATCAAGCGTCTACTTCACACCAACCAAGAAAATAAAGAAACCTTCAGTAACTTATATCACAAATCCTAAAGATTTATGTCTACGCCATGATTAAGAGACTGTAAAATTCTACTGTAAAGATTATGCTGCAGCCTTTTGTTGTAAATGTTTCGTGGACGATCATAATGGACATAATTATTTAGATCTACAGGAGGAGGAAGTCAGACACGACCTAAAATCCCCGATTGATGGATTGGAAAAGAAAAACAAATCACTAATTTTCAGAAACATTATGACAATTTCAATAGTAAATTTATTGAACTTAAAAACAACAACCGGTTGAGAACATCTGCTCAGAATTTAATAAAAGCGGAGAAAATGTTAACCAGCGGCTGCCAGGCAGGATACGCCCACATTTTCGAGAGATGGATAGAGAACAAGCTAAAAAGAAAGTGATTTTTCGTACAATCAGGGGCCATAATTCAGGAAGTTACGGTCCGATATGCGCGAACATCGAAAGGAACCGAGATCTTTGGGTTATAAACTTATATTTCAAGTTTCAACAAAATCGGATAAAAAATTGTGACCTCTTTAGGGTCCACAACCTTGAAATACCATATTTTTACGCTATTTGAGAACGAAGGGCCGATTTTCACGAAATTCGAACTCAGCCGGCCTTAGGGTGTAACGGTGATATAATAATACGTTTTTTAAATCGGATAAAATTATGACCTCTATGGGGTCCACAAGCTAAAAACGCGATTTTTCGTACAATCAGGGGCCATAATTCAGGAAGTTACGGTCCAATATGCGCGAATATCGAAAGGAACCACGATCTTTGGGTTATAAACTTACATTACAAGTTTCAACAAAATCGGATAAAAATTGTGACCTCTATAGGGTCCACAACCTTGATATACCATATTTTTATGCTATTTGAGAACGAGGGGCGGCCATTTTGTCGGTCAGTTTTGAGCCGATTTTCACGAAATTCGAACTCAGCCGTCCTTAGGGTGTAACGGTGATATAATAATACGTTTTTTAAAATCAGATAAAAATTATGACCTCTATATATAGGGTCCACAAGCTAAAAACTCAATTTTTTATACAATCAGGGGCCATAATTCAGGAAGTTAAAGTCCGATATGCGCGAATATCGACAGGAAACGAGATCTTTGGGTTATAAACTTACATTTCAAGTTTCAACAAAATCGGATAAAAATTGTGACCTCTATAGGGTCCACAACCTTGATATACCATATTTTTACGCTATTTGAGAACGAACGGCGGCCATTTTGTCTGTCCGTTTTGGGCCGATTTTCACGAAATTCGAACACAGCCGTCCTCAGGGTTTAACGGTGATATAAAAATACGGTTTTTTAAATCGGATAAAAATTATGACCTCTATATGGTCCACAAGCTAAAAACGCGATTTTTCGTACAATCAGGGGCCATTATTCAGGAAGTTAAGTTCCGATATGCGCGAATATCGAAAGGAACCGAGATCTTTGGGTTATAATCATACATTTCAAGTTTAAACTAAATCGGATAAAAATTGTGACCTCTACAGTGTTCACAAGCTAAAAACGTGATTTTTCGTACAATCAGGGGCCATAATCCACGAAGTTACAGTCCGATACATGCCAATATCGACAGGAACCGAGATCTTAGGGTGATAAACCTATATTTCAAGTTTCATTGAAATCGGATAAAAATTGTGACCTGTAGACTGTTCACAAACAAGACGGACGGACGGACAGGGCGACGACAATATACGTCCACATGAACATGTGGGCGTATAAAAAGGAAATGAAGAAAACTACCGAAGAGGGCGAATCCAAATTCAGGAAATTTGAATCATTAGAACAGCGTCGAGTTGTTCTAATGCATAATTCAAGCATGGTTAAACAGACAATAAACTCCCGATAAATACGAAACCTACATGATATTTAAATTTTGATTTGATATTTTCTACAACTTTTGGTTTGATTTAGCGTTTTTGTAATTAGAAAATCGAAGCTTTTAATATTTATTTGTATAACCTACTCAAAATAAATTAAAATAAAATATCACCAAACATAAAGATTTGTGTTAAATTGTATTTTTTTATCAGAGTTCTCTTGTTTTGTTGTATTAATTGAAAGGTTGAACGGATCCAGGGAGATAACTCCATTTAACGGACGGGGTATTTGATTCTTACTAATGAGAGAGAGAGAGAGAAATGGGGTTTAACGTCCACTCGACACAAACTAAGTCATTTCGGGACTAACACATGGTTTAATTTTATTTCAACAATTCGCTTGCGCGTAGAGGTCTTTAGCAGTGGGAGGATTCTTACTAATGACCGAGCCGCGATGGCTCAGTGAGTAAGAGGGCCCCCTTCTCCCTAGTCAGTGGTGTAGGACGGCGGGGACTAGTAAGAGACAACCTATAGTAGTTTGGGTGGGACGAAAAACGGATCTCCCATGTACACATTGGCGTGGGCGCAAAACAACCCCTGACATTTGGAATTCGAAATGAGAGTAGGTCGGACAAAACGGCGTAGGCCTGTCTTCATTAGCCCAGCCTCAAGTACAGGTCTAACACTGGTCAGAGAGGAAGACTCAAGTATTGGACTAACGATGACGGGCATAGGCTACACCATGCACTGTGCTATGAGGGAACAATATTGTAGTTTGCAATGGATTCCTATAGTGCTACAATCACGCAACCCGACTTTAAAAAATGAGATAGGTAAATGAAACGAATCGAAATTGTAATAAAAAATTTTATTAGATGAGACGATCATTATATTAATGTAAATGGAAGCCAGTAATGCTGAAGATGACATCATCAGTGGCGTTGTTGTGGGCGTTAACTTCGTTAGCAACATTGTTATTATTCATACCAGGGACTAAGGTCCAACTCTGACAGTTTTTTACATTTAACTGTCTTGCCCCTGTAAAAAATAAAATAAAAAAAAATATAATACATTTACATGTCGTTCTGTTCATATTTTCATAAAAAAAAATTCTTTAATTTCTTTGTCATGAAGATTATGGAACTGTTACAAATGAAACGAAATGGGGATTATCGCCCTTATTTTCTGAACCAACTTCGGGTGTTCATTTAGGTGCACGCCAAGGTGTACATGCATACGAGATTCAGATTTAACTTCACACTCTTCTGCACTCCCAGTAAAGCCCCCCCCCCTCTCTCTCTCTCTCTCTCTTCTGCACCAACGAGATTTAGGTCTAACGTCCTACTCTTCTGCACCAGCCGGGTATACGCCATGAAGTGTGCCATGAGGGACATGTAGCCTACACGGGACCTCAACTAGACTCTGCTCTTTGCATGGCCCGCTTTCCTACATGTTCCTGTAGCAACGGCCGCGAGTTTTACAATATCTAGACATTGCTAGATGGTCTGCAATTAAAGAAATTATAGCTACATTATTTCCCTACACAGACACCTGGACGATAGCGTTCAATCACAGGTTGTGGCGCAAACACTCAAATCAAACATGGCGACCTCCACGGAAACCTTGACATTGAACAAACCGTGAACTTTGCAACTCGATTATTACAGGTAGACATTTTAGCTGGAAAGCGCGAGAATTGGTCCTAGCGGTGATCGAGGAATCTGATAGGCCTTCCAGCTGCGTAAGTAGCCAATCGAAATTAGTGCCGAAATATGCAGGGTATTACGTGGCGGGCTTGATAAGATGTACCGCGTTAAAGCACCGACATGGTGAAACCACGCCGAAAATCCAGAGCCACTATTACTTCGTTGTTGTTCGTAGAGTTTAACTTCTGCTTCCATCGATGGTGATATCGCAGACAGGTTAACTTATTTCATTATAGCCCTCTTAGCGCGCGAATGGCCCTTTCCTGTGGGAGGAAATCGGATAACCCAAAGTAAACCCTCTAGACTGAGCAAGCGCCCCTATCTCCAAGCCACACACGCTCACAGCAGGAATCGAAACCACGGCCACAAGCTAGAGCTCGAAACGCAATACTTTAGACCACTAGGCCGAATCGAAACCACAGCCACAAGCTAGAGCTCGAAGCGCAATACTTTAGACCACTTGACCCAAACAGACCAAATAAGAGGGGTGACATCCGGGCGATTTAATTAGCTCTCAATATTAACCTTTTTTTTCTTCTGCAACTAAAATTCTAAAACAATATATTTCCTATTTAGTGTAAATGAGTACATAAAATAGTACGCGAAGGCGTACAATGAGTAAAAGGCATTAATTCTTCCCGGACCAGTTTACTTCCGATGCAAACAACACACGTGCTATCGACGCCGTATGATGTGACGTCACTCGTAAACCTCCACCGCACGTGAATTTATAGGTCAGCCATCTTGAATAGCTTTAAAAGAAGGCTTTTCGCATTTACCGCTGTGAAATAGACTCCCCCTGCACACCAACACAACCCACCCCCCTCACACAGTACTCAATATAACTTTGAATACTTACGGGAGCCGGAAAGGATTTCTTTGGATTTCAGCCAAGCTAAAAACTTGACACAGAATCTGAGACAAAGATACGTTCTTAATGGCCTTAAGTTGATCTGAAAAATAAAATGATGACACGATATTTCTCGTTAAAGATTCTTTTAACCAATTAAAGACGCATTATGTAAGAGCTAAAACTTTCAATTGCCGGTCTTTATTTTGGTTTCAAATTGAAGATATTTAAATGGATTTAAACATCCGCGAGATTTTTTAAAAAGAAAAATAACGATAAAATGGACAATCGAAGCTAAGTCTCGATCGTCAAGTACTGTTGCAATTATAATGAACGATCTACGCTATATCGTCATAACTGCACTCAGAATAAAGTTATTTCAAAGAAAGTTTCAATAAATTCATTATTCATTATCCATTTTTTTTAACTATTATAGCACGAAAGGCCAGGGGCCGGATGCTCAAAGCTCCGTTATCTTTTAACGATCCGTTAACATGGAGTTAACGGATCATTAACTTTAACGGAGAGAAAGGTTGTTGCTGGAAGCCCCGTTAACTTTAACGTGATGTTAACTTGGCGTTATATTTAACGGAGGTGTTGAGCTCCTTTATCTGTTTAATGATGGCATTAGTTGGCTGTAGCAAAAAGTCATAGATTACCAATGTAATTTTCTATAGAACATTCTAGAGGGTTGGGCGATGCGGGCCTATTCCATTTTCTATAGGGTGAAATTCTATACTATTTTACAGAATTTTGGTGGCCTGTAGGAAATAATGGCCGCATAATTCTGTAGTGCAAATCCCATAATTTTTCCTACAGATTTATGCTAAAATTTCTAAAGGAAAAAATAAAGTATTCTATAGTTTTTTATAGGTTTTTTTTAGTAAATTCTACAGTTATGTTTTTGTTTGTAATCAAGTTTTGTGAACAGACTGCACAGTTGTCTCACTGTCTTCAGTTTCTTGTTAATACTAACTTCTATGAAGTTGTTATACATGTACATTGAATTTAAAATTCAGCCAATGAACAAACAGTATTCTCTTGGATTAACTTTAATGAATCCGTTAGCTAACGGATAATGAAATTGACTTTCCAGCAACAGAAATATAACGGATCGTTAACAAACGACACGTTACCAAGATAACGATCCGTTAGAGTTTAACGGATCGTTAAAATACCTTAGTTTTGAGCAACCGGGTCCAGATCTTTATTTAAATCTTACATAATACATCTTTAAGAACCCAGGATGCCATTTTGAAAAGAAATGGGGTTTAACGTCCCAACTTTCTGTACCGTCTGGACAAATGAAGATGGGCATACGTCATGCAGTGTGTTACGAGAAAAAAAAGTTCCCGCATAGCGGCGCTACGGTCTTCTCTTATATCGTGCACACCAATATGTATACGGGACCGAACGACTATACACGGCACCCCCCCCCCATGCCCTCCGTCCTGCACCACTAACAAGGGGGAACCACCCGAAAAATTCGGATGAACTTTCTCGGCCAACCCCATGATCGAAAACGAAACATCCAGGTAAGCAAGGCAAAGTTTACTCTCTGAGCCACCGTGGCTCCCAAGGCAGGTGATATGGCGTAAATTGACTCACCTTTCGAGAATCCTCGTCTACTGTCAGTTGTTTCGTACCAGAAACTGTCTCCACATTTCAAATCGCTGAACTGTTTTCCCAAAATACAATTGAAGAGGGGACCAAGAATCGACCCATTTTCATTTTGTTCTGCCATAGTTTTCGACCCAATTTCATTTTGTTCTGCCATACCACCGGAAAACAGATCAATATCATCAACAGTTCTACAAAATAAATGTGCTTTTTATTAAAGGCTGTTGGTGGATACCAGTGTTTAACGTCCACTCAGCACAAACTAGGTCATCCCAGGCCTAACATATGATATCGTACACAATCCCTATGATCTAAGGATCTAATGAATACACGTAATGTTCTTCGTCGATATGTTCCTTTAAACATGTATTATGAAATGAAAGGTCAGCTGGCGTCGTTTCGATTTCCCGGTTGTACGTGACAAGGAGTGGGGTTGCCTGTCCAACCTCATGAGTTTTCTCCGGGTCCTCCGGTTTCCTCCCACTGATAAAGACCCCTACGCGCAAGCGAATTATTGAAATAAAATGGGACCATGTGTTAGTACCGAAATGACCTAGTTTGTGTCGAGTGGACGTTAATTCTGGGCTTCTCGTGTTGATAATTGTTTAAATAATGATTTATATAACATTTGAAGACCTGCATTAGGCAGATCTGGCTCTTACGTAATGTACATTTAAAGGAGCTAAATCGCTAATATTGGGAACCTACAAATTGACACAAATGGGTCGAAACGTATATAATAATGTAATATGAATGTAAATAAACTGATTTACATTCAATCGTTTCCGTTTTTACTTTAATTTCAAAGCAGTTATGTTAGGCGAAATACGCCAGAAGTCTCAATCGAATGGCAATCTCTAGCGACTGGTTATTCCAGTCTTTACCGATAGTATTTATTGCGCATGCTCTCCAGATAAGAATATGGGGTCACCGTTTGACATGACTTGTGCAATATGTCTAACCTCGTTCGTCGAGTCGCTTGTTACAAATTGCGCCGAAACGCATTATGGTACACGATTCGTGTACCAATCGTAATTTTTTTTTTGTCGTAAATATTGGATATCAGAAGCCAATCTTTTCCCTGTAAGATCACAACACCAATGTATGTGAGACGAGTCGCTTATTTGACTCCAGGGAAGAAGAAGTTGTCCAACTTACCTGTAGGTCTTTCTAAGAGATTTTCGAGCTGTTTTCTCGAATTGTTCAGAGTTGAAGTTTTTGGCCTCAGGTAAATTGCAGAATCTTCTAAACGTGTTGTAAGATGGTAGACCATGATCTCGACCTCGCTGAATATTAAAGGCAGCCAAATCAAACGATCCTATTTCAGTTTCAAACAGGTGATCTACGATTTCTTTGGACAGGAAACGATCTCTCATCTGAGCCGGGTTGGATAAAATATTTTCAACAACTGACTTCAAGCTGGTGAAAATAAACTCTGGATTGTTGAAGAGACGTCGGCTTTTTACTACTTTACCATCTATTACCAGAAAATCGGGAATTAGAGTATGACCAAATCTAAACGCTGCAGTGGCAAAAGCGCCCGCGATACTTGGATTAACGTTGATGCTGTACTCATAGTTACCCTCCTTTAGATTGTAGTGATCTAGAGTGTCGTCTGATAAAACTTCGGGTAAAAATTCTGTGTAGGTGATTCTCTGTGTAAAACAATATAATTATTATTATAATGATTGAATGGGAGAGAGAGAGAGAGAGAGAGAGAGAGAGAGAGAGAGAGAAATGGGGACGGGCAGGCAGGCAGACAGATAGCGATAGAAGACATACAGTGAATTAAACGTCCAGATAAACCAGGTCATTCAAGACTTACATATGGTTGAATTTTATTTTAATATATCGGGTGCGTGTAGAAGTCTTTTGCATTGGCATGAAACCGGGGATCAGAGAAAATTATTTCAATAATTCGTTTGCGCGTAGGAGTCTTTAACTGTGGACCCGGAGGACCCGGAGAAAACCCGAGAGTTTGGGCATGCCACTCGAACCCACTCGACACAAACTAGGTCATTTCGAGAGTAATATATGGAATGGTTTATTTTTCAACAATTCACTTACGCGTAGGGGTCTTTAGCAGTGCTAGGAAACCGAAATACCCGGAGAAAACACAGTGAGGTTGGACAGTGACATACCTTGCGATGTAACGCACTATTCGCACCCAGTTCTCTTCAATATTCTGAAAAAATTCCCTCACCTGTAAAAGGGCACTGATGATTTTTCTGGTTTCCTGGAATAATCGCTCCCCATCCCACCTTGTATTGTGTTGTTTTAAATCATCAACAATATAATTATGGTATCGGACGAAGGCTGTGTGTAAAGCCGTTAAACCGGGAAACACGTGCACCCTTTCATCACCTAGAAAATAGAAAACAGTTTGTTAAATATTCTGTGACCGGATACTCATAAGGCATTTGTATCATTATATTATTGTTCATATTCCTGTCTAATTTATGTCCCTGTTTAATTTATGTAGCTGTTTTATATTTATTTCTCCTGATGTACAAAAATAATATATTTACGAAATTGATCTCTGTTATCACTACTATAATAGTGTTACAGTATCAGTTGTGGATGCCGTGTTGTTTTAACGGTAAGTCATTTTGGTTTTTTAAAAGAATGTAAATTATACATGTAATTGTTTTCGTCCGATTTTCACGAATTCGAATTCAACCATCACTAGGTACGTTCACATTGGGAGTTTAATCTGAATTGAATTCAGAATAAAGTCTTATTCCGGATTTAGGCGTCACACTGAATTCGCTAAAATCCGAACTAAATCTGAAATAACGAATCCGTATATTTTTTTTTAGAATTCAATCTGGAACAATATTCCGAATCAGGTTATTCGCAATTTGAGGGTGGCGCGCTTGATTCAGATCAACGGGTTTGCGCGCATGTTCACTTCTACTTCCGTTTCATAGCTAGGAGGGGAAACTTGTGTATTTTCTAAGCCAATATTCTGCAAATAAATAAAAATTAATATCGCAAACACAAATCAGTTGTGGTATAGCCTACATATAGTAACCCTACCTCACTGAAACGTATACTGTGGTAACATAGCCGGTTAAAAATCCAAATGCAAAGATATGGTGTGTTAAGATCATGGCTTTTCATTTAAGGCCTAGACATAAGGGACAGGGCAGACCAGTTCCAGGCGACTTGAGTCTAGTAGAGTCTAGTCTCTATAGCATGTATTGTATGTGGTTCGATTAAAATGACAACTGAATATATTGCTTTGCATTATGCATGTTCAGTGCTGAAAGGCTTGTATTAATGTACATGTAATTATGAAATTTATCTTCGCTAGTACTGAGTCGAGAGTGAGGTGTATGTACATACTTGTTGATGCATAGCAAACGCTACCAGAAGAGTAATCATCCTCATTCACCTTTGATTCTGGTGCAGACCCGGCGTCGCTGATGTAGCCTTACTCGCCTCAAGAAATTAAACAATAGGCAAAATAAGATCACGAATATGAATGACGGACGCATCCATCTTGGATATGAATGACGTTCACTTCTGCTAGTTATGCGCATTCAGTGTGGCGCGTTTCAATATGAATTCAAAGAGATTAAGCTGTAATGTGACGCACCGCGTTTAATCCGAGACAAACCAATCCGAGTTCCGGAGGCCGGTCTCCGGAATTCGCATTGAATGCGCATGCAGTGGGAACGCAGCTACTATGTACGCAAGTGATCTCTGTTACCACTACCAAAATAGTGTTACCGCATTCCCTTAAAGGCAAGGTATATATATTAAGGTCAACTGCAGATTTCGTCATGGTTGCCACTACCAAAATAGTGTTACAACATTCCCTTAAAGGTAAGGTCTATATATTAAGGTCAACTGCAGATTTCGTCATGGTTGCAAGATGTAAATAGGGTTAGAGCATGTGATTGTTGACGAGATTGTGGGTTAGGGCTATGGCTAGGGTTAGGATTAGGGCTAGTCATGTTTACATCTCGTGACCTTTGACCACACACAAACAATTACAGAAGACAAACCTGCGGACAGGACACAATATACACAGGAATTTCCAAAATCAAACGGATGTATTAGTATATTTTTGTATAGACAAGGCAGGGGGACCGCACAACACACAAAGAAATACAGAATATAATGTGCAGACACCACAAACAACGTATATCAGATCAAGCGAATGGATCCGGGGATGATGTTGGAAAGGTAACTTACCAGCATCGAAACAGAATGGTGCATTTCTTCTGATACAGTCTTCATCTCGACCTCTTGGTAACAAATTATTATCGGATGTCTTCATACGGCCTGGGAAATACAGAGCGTAATAAATAGAAAGTTATTTATCTAGCGTATGTGCTTTATAGATCATCAGGCTTGTCATTGAGTGAGGCAAGTGGCGTGGTGTCGATCCCAATAATTGTACATGCCAAGGAGGAAAGTGCCCCCGCTTCGCCCAACCGCGAATTTTTTAAATGAAATAAGATTGAACCATGTGTTCGTCGTGAAATGACCTAGTCTATATAGTGTTTTTGGATATTAAACCCAATCTCCCTCATTCTATGCCATGTTCGGATGAGATGAAACAAACCCCAATCCACCCGTCTACACTGTAAGTGGGAGAGGGGGGGGGGCGAACGGGCAAGGAACAACCGTCTTGCCGCTGGGCTTCGACAAAAATCGTTGGCGTGTACGTTAAAGAGTCGTTCGATTAAAAGTAGGAACGAAATGCAAAAAGAAATGAAATGGGGTTTAACGTCCAAATGTTTTTCTCCGAACTGGGCTAATGAAGACGGGCAAACGCCATACAGTGTGCTCTCAGGGAAATTTTGCCCGGACAGCGGCACTACGGCCTACTCTTATATCGAATTCCAACTGTCAAGGGATCTTTTACGTACATGGGACCTCGGTTTTTCGCCTCATCCTTGTCAGGCCCTCCGTCCTGCAACACTGACAAAGGGGAAACCACGCCGGAAAAACTGGATGAACTTTCTCGGCCAATGCAGAGATAGAACACCCGACCTCCACTTAACCATCGTGACCCCCGAAAAGTAGGAACATTGTGAGTATTTATTAGCCCGATCGGTGATGACTAGAAACTTTGGATGTTTAAAACCTTTTCAGTCCATTTCTTACCATCAACTCCCCGTAGACGATCCTGTGTGTCCTGATCACTGCCATACACATTGGAACCATCCACAAAAGATGTTAATAAATTCTGTTGTTCTCGTGGATTCCAACGATCTGAAGTAATAAATCAAATTAAATGAAATGGGTTTAACTGAAAATGATCATCATATAATGTTTATACAATTTTTAACTGGGTTTTATTGGACAAATATATATACCTTATGTTTAAACAGTTACTGACTCAAAGACACAGAGAGAAAAGGGTGTTCAACGTCCACTCGACGCAAACAGGGTTTAACATATGTTTCAATCTTATTTCAATAATTCCATAGGACCCGAAGAAAACCATGATGAGTTTAGACAGTCGATTCTATTACTTGTCACGTACAATCGTAGAATCGAAACCACGTCACCTGACTCAATGGCAGATTTTATAATCTAACACGCACGCGTTAAGTCATTCGGTCACCTACCCACCCAACCCCTTGAAATTAGTAACTGAATCTGGGCTAACAAGGTCCAAACATTCGGCCACCCACCTAAATCCCTGAAATAACTAACTGAATCTGGGGTTAACGAGGTCCAAACATTCGGCCACCACCTAAACCCCTGAAATTAGTAACTGAATCTGGAGCTAACGAAGTCTAAACAGTTCCATACTTACTAAATCTGGGGCTAATTGCGCGAGATCGGACAAAGTCTAAACATTTAGACTTAAAAAAGCGATCACGAGGCTTGATAGAAATTGGAAAGCATCTTTTATTTCTGAAAAAAATATAATGATAATAAGTTTAGGTAGATCTAGAGTTTGGGTAGAGGGTCAACAATCTAGAGTTTGGGTAGAGGGTCAACAATCTAGAGTTTGGGTAGAGGGTCAACAATCTAGAGTTTGGGTAGAGGGTAAATACTCTAGAGTTCGAGTAGAGGGCAAATACTCTAGTGTTTGGGTAGAGGGTAAATATTCTAAAGTTGGGGTTAAGGGTAAATACTCTAGCGTTTGGGTAGAGGGTGGATACTCTGGAGTTTAGGTAGAGGGTAGGTACCCTACTGGATTAAAATAATCTAAACTTTCCCTAATTAGGACGAAACTATATCGCGCAATCTGGTCAATAATTATAGAAAACTAGACTGCACAATGATAGGGTTTCCCCTTGTCGGTGATGCAGGACGGAGGGCCTGACAAGGACAGCTGTCTAGTCGTTCGGATGGGACGAAAAACCGAGGTCCCGTGTACACATTGGCGTGCACGTAAAAGATCACTTGGCAGTTGGAATTCGATATAAGAGTAGACCGTAGTGCCGCTGCCCGGGCAAAATTTCCCTCATAACACACTGTATGGCGTATGCCCGTCTTCATTAACCCAGTTTAGGAGCAGAACAGTAGGACGTTAAACCCCATTTCATTTCATTTCATTTCATTTTTCACAATGATAGGAAACTAGTCTGCGCAATTTGGGGATTTTATTATCCTTCTTTTATCAAAACATTACCCGTATGTAAATGAAATCATCCGTATGAAAAGTGAAATCATCCGTATGAAAAGTGAAATCATCCGTATGTAAAGTGAAATCACCCGTATGTAAAGTGTAATTAAATGGAATGAAATGAGACCCGGGGTCCATTCGGCAAACCTCGACAGATTCTACGCATCTAATCTCGGCTGTATCACCATTTCCGCCATATTTGAACTATTTTAAAGGTTCCGAATGAAAAATGGCTGCCCCCATGGAGATTTCTGTGGAGAGTGTATTATATCAACAAACGTCACGTTTGGCATTGGGTTTGGGGAATTACCAGGGAATTTTATCAAACCAACAGCCTTGAGACAATATCTCTGCTCATTTAGGTATATACACTCTACAAAAGACGCAATTTGGGACTTTTTTGTAAAAGCGACACGTTTTCCTGTTTAAAGTAAACCGGCAGCCGCATCGCAAATGTATGGGCGTAGGTACATATCACTTACTGTCATACAGCCGAGATTAGATGTAGGGTAACGGAATCTGTCGAGATTTGCCGAGTGACCCGGGGTCTTTACTTTCTGCTCAAACCGGGAAAATAAAGACGGGGTGGAGTGGGGTGGATAACGTGCACTCGACACAAATATCGTTCAATTTTATTTCAATAATTCGTTTGTTTTAGCAGTGGATGAAGTGGGATGGGAGAAGAGGGGGCAGAGAAAATCCACGGCAGGCGGGAAAGAGCCACCAGTCAGTTTGCCAGCCAACCAGTTTGAATTACAACAAGACATATTTAGATTACCTTTTAAAGGAGTGTGGGTGAAGCTTTCCTTTTTTAGCCCTTCTATTATCACAGCACGGTGATACACCTTCTTCGGCTGAAAGACAAATAGAAATACATTTTTTAACCGGTTCCAGGATTGTTCCTCTGTTGTTCTATTAGCAATTCCAGGAGGACTACCCTGCAGACAAAACCAAACCAACAAGACAAGCTACACATATATTGCAAGAAATAAACAACAAACACCGAATCAAGTGAATTGATACGGGGGCCAGCCAGTCGTAATCGTTCACTGTGCTATACAGTCCCGGACCGGTAACGATAATATGTATATTTCAATTTATGATTTATCGTATAAGTTCAAAGATACTTCTAAGTACTAACGTCTTATTACCAATCTGATCAAAATATAGATCTATAATATTTCGTTTCGTTTTTTTATACTTTCGAAGCACACTGATCAGCAGCGATTATTAGATCGCTAATAACACTGAGAGAGATGACATCGGTGCGCGTTTTTTCCTTCTGCGAATTGAATTCCAAAACATTTTTTGAAGCATTAGAAAAATAAATAAAGGTGTTTGACGTATACCTGGATAAAAAATATTTCCCATTTAGTGTAAATGAAAATATAAAGGCACCGTTCTGCCAGGACGAGAGAGAAATGGGGGTTAACGTCCATTCGACACAAACTAGGTCATTTCGGGACTAACGTATGGTTAAATTTTATTTCAATAATTCGTTTGAGCGTAGGGTTCTTTAGCAGTGGGGGGGGGGGGGGGCTGTGGTAGCTGGAAAAAACCCACGAGGTTGGACTGGCGACCTTACTTTTTGTCACTTACAAGCAGGGAGACGAAACTCCGCCACTTGACTCAACGAGAGAGCTTATGATTTCACGCGCACGCGTTAAACCATTAGACTACCAACCTCAATACTTAAATGTAAACAAATGGAAAATAATTATTATATTTTACTTTATTCGGAGCTACGTTTCAATATTGTATCTCTTGGCGTTTCTAAGTTACTTACGTTGTTGAATGGCTGATGCAGTAAAATCGTGGTCCAGAAATTGTCCCCATTGCATAAGCATCACTGAATGTTTAGAGTTGACTCGTCTTGGCGGGTGAATATTGATACTGACTGTTCGAGCACTAGGTAACAGACATTTATTTGGCTTAAGCCTTCGAAACCAAGGTTTACTACAGCGTCCAAACGTGGAATAAATCCTCGGGGCACCAATTCCTGGAAAAGAACAGAACACAGAACAAATGGCTAGTAAAAAAAATGACTTTGCAAAATTCTAGGATCCCCGATTTCTGCAAAAGGATGTAATTACACTATGAAGATACAAAATGAAATGAAATGGGGTTCACCATCCTGCACTAGTGTTGTCAGGTATTGTGTCACTGCCCGGACATGGCGTGTGCCCGTCTTTATAAGCCCGGTTGGTGCGCGAAAGTTAGACGTTATAACCCCCCCCCCCATTCATTTGGACTAAGACCCCCCCCCCTCTCCTTGACTTCAATGTTATATCCATGACATTTCTTGGACTGTCGATTTGTTTTGATCATTCCAACCATTTTGACCTTTACAACCTAACATGCAGTTTTGTAGGCCCGGTCAAAAGTCCCCATATCACAATTTCTTTTACCTTTCACCGATTTTAAGTCGTCCATTAAATTTATTATATATACCGCTGGCAACGGTCTTGGAATCTTGTAGACACAAACAAACTTCATCACATTAAGCTTCTCTTAGGAGACTGGCCAAGCTCCCACAGAACCAGCAGGAGGGATGAAGTTGTTTTGTATAGCTCTCGCATTGGTCATACCTTTTTAACTCATATTTTCATTTTGAGAGAGAGAAATTGGGTTTAACGTCCACTCAACACAAACTAGGTCATTTCTGGACTAACATAATATGGTTTAATTTTATTTCAATAATTCGCTTGCGCGTAGGGGTCTTTACCAGTGGGAGGAAACCGGAGGACCCGGAGATTCGAAACCACGCCAGTTGACTCAATGACAGGCCGTATGATACAGCACGCACGTGCTAACCATTCGGCCATCCAACCCCCCTTTTCATTTTGAAGCGAGAGCCGCAACCAGAATGTGTTGCTTTGACAGTAAAACACATCTTGATTGAGTGCAACTATCTCAAGTATATTAGAACTAAATATTACCGTTGCCAGAACAGCACGTCAGTTATTTGCCCAACCGGAACTATATGATAAATTGCTAGCATTTTTAAAAGAGACAAACTTTTATTCAAAATTTTAATTGTATATATTTATCATATATTGAGTTTTAAATATTTATATATGTATAGGAATTGATGTATTTATTTTAAATCATATTTTCTGTGATATTTGTTTTTATTTACATATATGAATACATCCTTGTGATATTGTTTTAATTTGTCTCGTTAAATTCACCACCAAATCCTTCACGATATACCCTGTGGTATCATTCCTTTCTAATCCACTAACCTCAAATGGGGTTTAAAGTCCACTCGACACAAACTAGGTCATTTCGGAACTAACATATGGTTTAATTTTATTTCATTAATTAGCTTGCTTGTAGGGGTCTTTTAGCAGTGGGGGGGGGGGGGCACCGGAGAACGCGGAGAAAACCCACGAGGTTGGACAGGCGACCCTACTCCTTATTACGTACAACCGGGGATTCGAAACCATGCCTGTTGACTCAATGACAGGCCTTATGAAACAGCGCGCACATGCTAACCATTCGGCCACCCTCTTTTTTGGTAACGTAAACAATGATGCTAAGACTGGTGTGCAAGCAGTGTTTTGATCAAGGAATGATCATTCAAAATCATGAAAACTCAGTTGATGGACTATAACGGAACGGAACGATACCCGTGGAGAATGGATTTAAATGGACGAGCCATGCAGTGAGGGCAAGTATTTGTGGCCATTTAGAATTGTTTGTTATCCCCCTTGATTTAGAAATTTCACATGTAATGCTTTATTGGCATGAAGTGATGGGACAGAGAGAGCAATTAATGTATTTTTTTCTAAATTGGAAATTATCAATGTCGGTGTACAAAATGCTAGGCCCTACTTGATTATTAAGGACCACTACAAACAAGGAATTTTCCCGGGCATTACCAGACCTCTGTCGCTTTCCAAATAAGTCAAATAATCCAATTAAAACATTTGCACAAATGTTTATAAGTGAAATAAAATGGGGTTTAACGTCCGGATATCCAACCCGGATAATGAAGACTGTGACATTTGGCCTGGGCAGCAGTGTTTCCAGTCCACCTACTGTTCATCGACTTCCAACTGGCAAGGGTTATTTTGCGTGATGTCAACGTATACACCAGACTTTGATTTGTCGTCCCAAACGTGCACATAAATGACCCCTTTGTTAGTTGGAATTCGATATAGGCCGTAGCACAATTTCTCTGAGAGCACACTGCATGGAGTGTGCGCCTTCATTATAGCCGAGTCGGTGCAGAATAGTAAGACGTTAAACCCCATTTCATATCATTTAATGTATTACCGTCAGCATAATCTGCATCCACGTAACGTTTAAATCGTTCCAATGATTGTCCCCACGATGGTCGTTTGATGTTGTTACAGAAGCCATCAGCTGTACGGAATAAAGGATCAGAGTCCGGACACAACGTTGGTACTGCTTGTCGTACAAATCTAAAAAATAAATATGTGATATTTACTCTTAAAACCTTTGCATTAGCTGCCTGAATCCGAACACTCTAAACTGTGTCGCTCACTGATGCACTTTGTTGTGTCACATTCTAGTTTACAGCCACAATTGATGCATTTGAGGATTGCCTCTGGAGCTCCACTTTTCTGAGCTCGATCCACCCCCCCCCCGCCCCCTTTCCCCCGCCCCCGCTCCCCCACAATCTACAACTGCACCTGGTAGTATATAAGGAAATCATGATACTTGCCGTCGATTCCTGATGTTGCAAAGTATCGTGGTTTCCCCTTGTGCTACCAGGTGCAGTTGTGGATTGGGGAGGGGGGATGTGAATTAAGCCCAAAAGAGAATTTGACGTGTGAAAGGCTACCAAGAAATGAAACAGTTCAGGACTGTGCAGTAATTTAATGAGCGTGTGATTATTTACATTAAATTTCTATCAGTAAACTTCTTTCAAGGGGCTCAGTTATTTTTTTTTGAAAAGTGTATGGTGACAGCATTTAACGTCAAACTAAGACGTGGTGACGTCTTGGGATTTATTTATAATAATTTCCTTACTTGCAGGGGTCATGTTTCCATCTGTATAATAACTTTAAAGGAGTTATGAAACTCGAAAGATACATTTGGCTGCCATTTTGAATTTAGGTAAATTAGGCCCTTTCCCCGACCCGAAAATCAGAGAACTTTGAATATGTTGTAGACGATAGTCCCACGAACAACGACGGTTAACTGTAATTTTGATTGGACTATAAACATTGCCTGGATGGTACTAGGACAATAAATAAATACCAAGTCAATTCGGGACTAACATATGGTTCAAATTTACTTCAATAATTCGCTTGCTCAGAGGGATCTTTTTAGCAGTAGGAGAAAACTGGGGAACACAGATGAAACCTACGAGATTGGACAGACGACCCTACTCTTTGTCACGTACAAGCGGGGAATCGAAACGACACCACTTGACTCAGTGACAGACCTGATTCAATTCCCCTCGTCCCCCCCCCCCCCCAGAATGAGAGAGAGAGAAAGAGAGAGAGAGAGAGAGAGAAGAGAGAGCTTTACGTGGGTGATACTGGGATAAAAAATATAAGTTTAACTTACTGTGGTTCAGGTTCTAAACGTACTGGTGGGACTTCTCGAAGAGTATAATTGTCGTTCATACCAGATATTTGAGCTAAGCACATAGTCAAAGACATAATGTGGGTGCCATCATCTTTATTTATTTCGTTACCGCTTTTGAAAGATGCTTCTGATAAAAAAAATACATGACACCAATGTCATCAATTTCATATCATCTTAAGCGGTTGTCCTATCGGTTTTTGGCGTTGGCTCGGAAACACCTACGGGTTTTTCCTCTTGTCAGTCGTTTAGAAAGAAGGGCCTGGCAAAGGACAGTATCTAGTCGTCCGGATCGGAGGAAAAGTCAAGTTCCCGCGTACACATCGGCGTGCACGTAAAAGAACCCTTTACATTGGACTTCCATATAAGATTTGACCGTAGTACCGCTGTCCGGGGAAATTTCCCTTATATCACATTGTATGGCGTATGCCCATCTTCATTAGCCCGTCTTGTACCACTGACAAGGGGGAACCGCGTCGGAAAATCAAGATGCGATATCTCCGCCAATACCAGGATCGAACAGGTTAGCAAGCCAACGTCTTACTGACTGAGTCCAAATTACAATATATCTCAAAGAATGTAGACAAATTAAGAAATTCACATTTCTTCTAATTTTCGTATAAAAAGAAATTAATTATTATATATTTACCAATAAGTGGAGACAACAGTATTTGTGCTCGGAATATCAGACAGAACAGTCCGAAAAACACCCCACCTCGCCACATGATGTAATCTGGAAAATATGGATACAAATTAAAACACATATTGAAAGATTATTGAAAGAAACGGTAAAATAGACGATTCACAATAAATAACACTATTCTATAATGGCCTAAAGCGTTGCGCTGTGGGTCTAGAGGCCGTGTTGATACTATTGCCATATGTCGATTTCTTAGGGTGTGAGTGTGTGTGTTGGGGGGTAGGGGCAGGTAGTGGTGTGCGGAGGGGGGGGGGGGCAGTAGTGGTGTTTCCCCATCCTCATCTTCAAGTCCCCCAAGTAATAATAGTGCACTTTTAACACGCTAAAGTCCTTACACTAAGTGTACGCTCATAGCGCGACGTTAATAAATTATGTGCTATAACAGTTTTATGTCGCATAGTATTCTTTAAACAGGTGTGTATTTAAATAAACTCTTGAATTGCAATAAGGTTGATGTATCTTTAACTTCTGGTGGTAGTTTATTCCAAAATGTTGCTGATTTACACTGGAAAGATCGCTGTCCAAATTCACGACTCGACGTCATAAAGACTAGACTGCAGGGCGGAGTCAGGGGCGGTGCATCTTCAATAGAAGGCTTGATCTCGCCTTAACTACGTACATCTTATCAAGCCCTTTCTCCGGGTCCTCCGGTTTCTTCCCTCTGCTAAAGGCCCCTACCCGCAAGCGAATTATTGATATAAAATTCACCCATGTGTTAGTCCCAAAATGACCTAGTTTGTGTCGGGTGGACGTTATGGAAAATAATCACTGGTTTTATTCTAAAAGCACGACGTTTCGACAAGTATTTTCTTGTCGTAAAACAGCACAATGACAGTTCGTAAACGTCGTGCTTTTAGAATAAAACCAGTGATTGTTCCCCATAAAAATTGTGTTCTGTTAATGTGTTTTTCAATCGCTAAATGTCACTCAAAGATAACATAGAGTAGAATAAAGCAGATTAAGAGTAAGTAGCCATAACCTTTTAATACAATCAGGTAGTAGAACTATATCAATTGAAAGAAATGACAGGATATGTAAATATTGTTTGAATGAGAGGTATATAAGTACAATTGAAAATGAATTACATTTTTTGGTTCACTGTTAACTGTATGACAACCTGAGAACTATTTGCTATGCCAATAATTACCGGGAGAACCATGTTAAAGGATACTGGCAGTGTACTAATTGTGATATAATTACTTAGAGAACCATGTTAAAGGATACTTGCAGAGTACTAATTTTGATATAATTACTTAGATAACCATGTTGAAGGATACTTGCAGAGTACTAATTGTGATATAATTACTTAGATAACCATGTTAAAGGATACTTGCAGAGTACTAATTGTGATATAATTACTTAGATAACCATGTTAAAGGATACTTGCAGAGTACTAATTGTGATATAATCTGTAACATAAGTAAGTTTATTTATAATGCTATGAAAAGAAGAGCAAATTACTAAATTATTGAAATTATTTACTATGATTTGACGTGAGGTTATAATGAATCTCAATCTGGTTAAAACACAGATCCTATTTCGTTTCGTTTTTATAGTTCAAAATTTCGTTTTACTTGTCTTTACTACACTTGGATCTGGAAGAGTTGTTATTTAACTCGTAGTCTGAATGGTGTCGGGGATAAGCCAATGAAACGGTCTGTTACGGCGAGCTTTAGGTGTGTTTTTCACGGAACTGTGGCTAATCCACTAGTAACATCAATGCTGATTGGTTAATCAAATGTCTGACGTCAAAAGGGTCATAAGTCGGTCTTTTGACCCCTAACGTGACCTATCGCTATAACTTGTCAGATCTTCATGTAGTGTAGGCCATCGAAAGTATAATAAAAACGAAACGAAATATAGATCTGTATTTTAATCAGATTGTAATAAATCTGTGTAAATACAAATAGTGTTGGTTTGTTATGTTTGTAATTTTTTTTATCTTGTCTTGAGTGTACTATGGGATCATGGCCTGTTATTGCAAATTAACTATTGTTATTATTATTTTATATTTTTATATATGACGTATTCCCTTAAGGTTCTTTTCATTCCCAATTATATGAAAAAGAAAGTGATGAGTTTACACTATGGTTGAGCGAGAGATATCATCACACGGATGTAAAAAGTACAAATATAATAAATGCCAATAAATCATTTTGTTTGTTGTTCTCTATAATTTGTAATTTGTCAAATAAATGGGCGAATAATAGATTGTCATCGTTATGATTAGCTAATCCTATAAATCAAGGAAGTTACTCCACGGACCAATCAAATACGGCGTACTATCCTTAATGACGTTATATTTGCCCGTAGGAGGTGGCGCGTGTTTTAGGTCTCAGGATATCTCATTAAGTCAATACAAGGATCGCCTGTAGTGAATTATTGAAATTAAATTGAACCATATGTTAGTTTCGAAATGACCTAGTTTTTGTTAGTGGACAGTAATCCCCAATTTTCTTAGTCTCTGGGGTTTCAATTTAAAACACCGTAGAAAAAATGTCATATAACAAATAAGCAAAATCTCGTCTTCATTATCCCAGATGGTGCAGAAAAGTAGGACGTTAAACTCCATTTCATGAAGGGGGGGGTCATGGTGGCTAAGTAGGTAAGACGCTGGCTCGATAGTCTGGAGGTCGGGTGTTCGATCCCTGCATTGGCCGAGAAAGTTCATTCAGATTTTCCAGTGTGGTTCCCCCTGGTCAGTAATGCAAGACGGGGGGGGGGGGCTGACAAGGACAGCTGTATAGTCGTTCGGATGGGACGAAAAACCGAGGTCCCGGGTACACATTAGCGTGCACGTAAAAGATCCCTTGACAGTTGGAATTCGATATAAGAGTAAGTGCCGCGGTCCGGGCAAAATTTCCCTCATAGCACACTGTATGGCGTATGCCCGTCTTCATTAACCCAGTTCGGAGCAGAACAGTACGACGTTAAACCCCCATTTCATTTCATTTCATGAATACAACATACATCAGATTTGAAATATAGAAATCATCATCGCTATTGTCACCATCATCATGTCTAGGACCCAAGGAATGAACACTGTCTAGTCGTTCAGATCAGATGGAACTAAAAATCGTCTCCTGTGCATGTAGGCGTTAAAGAGAGCGATCGCCACTGCATATATAAAAACATTATGTACTCCTGTGGGGACTCGGACACTCATGTTAAACCGGTCGACCATCTAAACCCCCGAAAGTCCAATATGCAGTTATCAGACAGGTTTTAATCTCGTTAAAGTTAAAGGGTGTTAAACGATATTCTTTGAAACCTATACTAGACGAAAATGGGTATTTTCGGGACTAACATATGGTTCATTAGCAGTGAGGGGAAAACCGTAGGACCCGGAGAAAACTGACGAGGTTGGACGGGCGACCCTACACCTTGTCACGTACACGCGGGGAATCGAAACCACGCCACTTGACTCAATACTATCTAATATTCCCGCCCCCTCAAACATACCGACATTACAAGTAATAAATAAGAACTTATCGAATTATGTCAAAGTTAGTTTCAAGATGACAGATGGGTCGTGTCGACTAGAAATTAAAATTCCGATCATCGTCTGGTTCTTTTACCCGCTCGCTAATTACGCACATGGGCCTTTAACGATATTCTTTGGAACCTATAATAGACGAAAATGGGTATTTTTGGATCTAACATATGGTTCATTGTTCGTCCTACTCTGCAAACAGGAAACCACGTTTTATTATTTATACCGAGGAACTTTCTAGGCCAGCACCGGAATTGAACCCGGGAACGTTTGATTAGTGAGCAAGCACTTTAAGCACTGAGCCACCAAACGACGTGACAATATATAAGTGATTATAGTACACAAGACATATTTATGACCAGTGACAGATTTATGACGTGTATATGCAGTTAAAGATGTATAATGTAAGACTAGCAGGATACATACCAGACATATTTATGGAATGAAATGAAATGGGTTTAACGTCCTACTGTTCTGCTCCGATTGGCCTAACCGGGAATACGCCATGCACTGTGCTATGATGACGGGAATTTGCCATGACAGGGGAGCTATGGCCTATTTTTAAATCGAATTCAAACTGCAAGGAGTCTTTTACGTGCACGCCAGTGTGTACATAGTACCTCGGCTTTTCGTCCCACCCGAACGACTAGACAGCTCTCCTTGTCAGACCTTCGTCCTAGCACACTGACAAGGGTAAACCACACCTGATAATCCATTTGAACGAACCCGCGACCTCCAGACTAGCGAACCAGCGTTTTACGCACCTAGCCACCGAGGCTTCCCAAAAATGGATAAAGTAAAATGAATATTTTGAAAATTTAATCCAAATTACTTTATTCTGATTGAAGTTAATTCTGATGACAGTTTTTACGACCGAGACTTAGCCTTGATTGTCCACTTTATCGTTAAATATTTAAATCTCGCGGATGTTTAAATCAATTTGTCTAGGCGCGCGCTGTATCATAAAGTCTGTCATTGAGTCGACTGGCGTAGTTTCGAATCCCCGGTTGTACGTGACAAGGAGTAGGGTCGCCTGTCCAACCTCGTGGGTTTTCTCCGGGTCCTCCGGTTTCCTCCCACTGCTAAAGACCCCTAGGCGCAAGCGAATTATTGAAATAAAATTAAACCATATGTTAGTCCCGAAATGACCTAGTTTATGTCGAGTGGACGTTAAACCCCATTTCTCTCTCTCTCTCTCTCAATTTGTCTAGAAAGTTGAGTATAGATTTGTTATGTGAATAAATTTCTAAAAAATAATTATTACAACATTTCAAGCCAAAACAAAGACGTGCAATGTGCTTACATAATGTATCTTTAGACATACATTATGCAAGACCTAAATCTGCCTATTGCAGGTCTTTCTTTAGCCCAGATATGTGTTATTATTAAACATGCATTATGCAAGAGCAAAATCTGCTTATTACAAGTCTTTCTTTAGGCCTGAAATGTTATCTTAATTATCAATTAGACTTTAAATAACTTATCCAGACCATAATAAACTCTCGATGTCAAGGCTAGCCTTCGATGTAGATTCCTATATGCCGCTAACGGCCAAAGATAATTAAATCAGAAAAAGTGGATAATCGAGACTATGCTGTTTATATTAATGATTTTAGTAATGATAACCGAGACTATGCAAGAATTTCACCGGCTTCTTTCTCGGCTCATAGTGGATCAATTTGACTGAAATTTTCAGCAAATTACCTTTACACTATCTAGTTTTTATCTATTATAGCGAGAACTGCCATCTCTTTATCTTATCTCCCATAATGTATCTTTAATTATTAATTAGACATTAATTACCTTATGCAGACCATAATCAACTCTCGATGGCATCGGATTTCTCCGATATTAAATAGATTATAACAGTTCAGCCATATTTTGATTTAAGTTAAAAATGGAGGAGCGAGGCTTACCTTCGAACAACCAGTACGTTGGTTGAAATTATTGCACACGTCTTGTCAAACCTTCAAAGGCTAATATCTTTGCTCGCAACAGAGACATTTGAATGAAATTTTCAAATTATTTATTTTACATTAACTATTTTCGAACTATTATAGCAAGAATGGCTAGCTCTTTAACTAAATCTTACATAATGTATCTTTAATAAATAAATCAAAATAACATTAAAAGTTACGTACCTTAGATGTGTGCGTAAAATACGGAGATACTGTGGGCGGCGTTATATACTTGGGTAATGATCGCATTGACCAGATTTAAAATTTAAACTCTTATTTATAGTGTATCTATATCACATAAGAATCTCGTACGTAAGAAAAAATGACTCCAAAACAAAATTTATGATTGGTTAAACTAAAGGTAAATATCCTCTAATGAAATTCAAATGAGATGTGTTATGTTTATTTCGAGTTACTGGGATTGGTTGGTGTATTTTTATACTGTTAATACTGTGGTAATCTTACACCCTATTCATATCCAGCATCCGTTTCGATATATTCAATAAAAATATTGTTTATAAAAAATTTCATACTAAAAATACATGTTATACGTCATTTAAACGGGCATTTTCTAAGCCTTTAAAAACTGTTTGAGGCGTAACAGGCCTATATATGTGTGTATAGTGTGAATATATGGCCTCATGACCCTCACTCATACGATATGTAATCTGCCACAAGCACATTCACTGACGCTGGTGATTCAGATCACTAAATATGATATGAAAAAGGGTTTTAACATCCTATTCGTCTGCCAAACCGAACGTCCTAATGAAGGCGGCTATACATCATGCAATGTGCCATACAGCCCCTGCACCAACCGACGGGGCTAATGAAGGCCACTATATTCCATGCAGTATGCCATATATCCCCCTGCACCAACCGACGGTGCTAATGAAGGCGGCTATACTCATGCAGTATGCCATACAGCCGCTGTACCAACCAACGGGGCTAATGAAAGCGGCCATGCTCCATGCAATGTGTCATGCAGTCCCTAAAGCAACTGACGAGGCTAATGAAGACGACCCTAATCCATGCAATGTGTCATGCAGTCCCAACATCAGCTAATGAAGGCGGCTATACACCATGCAGTATGTCATACAGTCGTTGCACCAACCAACGGGGCTAATGAAGGCGGCTATACTCCTTGCAGTATGCCATATAGCCGCTGCACCAACCAACGGGGCTAATGAAGGCGGCTATATACTCCTTGAGGTATGTCATATAGCCCATGTACCAAACAACTGGGCTTATAAAGGCGGCTATACTCCTTGCAGTATGTCATATAGCCCCTGCACTAACCAACTGGGCTAATGAAGGTGGCTATACTCCTTGCAGTATGTCATATAGCCCCTGCACTAACCAACTGGGCTAATGGAGGCGGCTATACTCCTTCATGCCAATGTTTTTGTCTCTTCCGAACGACTATACGTTGTTCCTAGCCAGGGATAGAACACGGCCCGCTAAGTTCTGCGCCTTTTACTAATAAGGAACCGCGGCGCCTTAGCGAGTAAGACGTTGGCTAACCTGGATTTTCCCTCATGGTTCCCTTGAGTCAGTGGAGCAGAAAGGGACAACGTATAGTCGTTCGGATGGGACGAAAAACAGAGGTCCCGTTGTAAAAGAGCCCCTGACCGTTCGAATGGTCGTAGCGTTCCTGTCCGGGAAGTATTTCCCTCATAGCACACTCTCTAAACGAACTGAACTCCTACCCAACCCACCTAATCGCCCCCCCAACTGCTCGGACCCCCCCCCCCCCCGGCCCTACTAATAAAGAGGTAACTTAAACATGTATAAATACTACATCCGAGTAATTATTTTTGCTGTATTTTGAAAGGCTTGTTTACGATTTAAATGATTTGTTATTTAATATGAAATTGTTAAACACTTAAGCAACAAAACCAATTTATTATTGACATTTTTTGATTTATTATCAAAAAAAGCCCAATAAATATAACTTCAATTTAACATCGACACTGTTTGATTTATTATGAAACAACAGTCTTCTAAATTTAACTTCAGATCTTAGAAATCTTAAAGGGCCAATCTCGGTTATTTTTTGGAGAATAAAACTGCTTAATTTTGTGTTCAAAGCCCTTAACATCCTCTACCTTAGGGCCTCCCGTCTTCCTTAGCCCAGTTTGGGGCAGAACAGTAGGACGTTAAACCCCATTTCATTTCATTTCACCTTAGGGCCAAGCAACGAATTCAATATACGTGATACGTTTCCAGACATTTTAAACCCGCCAGTCTTCATCTGGAAATGGAGAACGGGACCCCCAAGTTGTATTATACGGTGTCTGGATAAAACCAGACTTTTGTTTTATAAACATAACCTGTAGGTGAAATTTACAGCACTTGCGTCATCCACTACATAGGCCTCTAAAGGAACGACAACAGATTATCAGGTCACCCAACGAAAACTTAAAAAAGGTTTATGTGTACTGCTGAAGAGTAATATTATTTATAAACGGAATAGCGAGGTACCTAAAAGGGAACCCTGGGGAGCACCTCCTTCCTTCCAAATTGCCAGTACGTGGTATCTTTAATGTATTACACATTAAATACATGCATGATTTCTATTGAGCAAATTACGCCTCGAGTTGTACGAGGACTGATGTGAAATACGATAGTATCACGTAGTGTCCTATTTTAGCTGATGTGAATTACTGAATACAGAGTTCAATATTTTTAGAATTCCCAGTAATTCAAAATACAATATTTAAGTTTTAGCTAAACAGCTGGTCGTTCTTGCTATTATATTTACTAAAGATGCATTATGCAAGGTTCAGATAACAAGCTGACCGTTCTTGAAATAATACTTATTTTGAGAAATGTATATATTGAAATTTTCATTCATTTTTGGACGAAGTTATGAGTGTTTGAAAATGTAGCGTAAATCATTTATTATGGCAGCGACGTTACTTAGCCTTGACCACTTTATTGTCAATTTTTGTTACCTCGCGGGTATTCAAATTTCAGCCATCAGATGATCTAAAGAGTTAGTTCATTATGTATGTCTGTTTATGTGAATAAATGTCTAAATGATAATTTATATAGCATTTGAAGCCAAAATAAAAACCTGTTATAGATAGAAATGAAATGAAATGGGGTTTAACGTCCTACTGCTCTGCCGTACGGTGTCCTGTGGGAGAACTTTTTCCCGGACAGCGGTGCTACAACCTACTCTTATATTGAATTCCATCCGCCAAAGGTTCTTATATGGACACGTCAATAATCCCATCCGAACGACTATACGTTGTCCTTTGCCAGACACTATGTTTTGCACCACCGACAGTAACAACGTTGAACCACGCCGGGAAATCCCGATGGACTTTCTCGGCCAACACCGGGATCAGACACGGAACCTCACAGGGGTTGGATGGCCGAATGGTTAGCGCGTACGCGTTGTATCATAAGGTCTTTCATTGAGTCAACTGGCGGGGTTTCGATTCCACGACTGTACGTGAAAAGGAGTAGGGTCGCCTGTCCAACCTCGTGGGTATTCTCCAGGTCTCCCGGTTTCCCACAAATGCTTAAGACCCCTACACGCATGCGAATTGTTGAAATAAAATTGAACCATATGTTAGTTCCGAAATGACCTGGTTTGTGTCGAGTGGACGTTTAATCCCATATCTCTCTCTCTCTCTCTCTCTCTCTCTCTCTCTCTCCCAATTCAATACTACGTATGATCACTAAGATTTCATTTAGACAGTCCATGCACATGAAAGAATTCGACGACCCCGTAACTAAATTCCATAGTGGGAAATGTACCACGAGGCTGAATCCAGACCTAATGGTTTCACCAGCTCACCCAGCACCTCTTCAGATTCATCTTTAAAAACATGTGTCTATTATACTATTATATATTAGAGAAATCTATTTTATCGTTCATCTATTAAATTTATTTTATCGTTCAATTTGAAATAAAATTAAACCATATGTTAGTCCCGAAATGACTTAGTTTGTGTCGAGTGGACGTTAAACCCCATTTCTTTCTCTTTCTTTCCAACCCATTTTCCAGTAATGACGACGTCATGTGAGCTGTGAACGACTTTTTGAGGCTGGTTGAAGAATATTTCTTTCTGACCGACATCCAAGTCTTGCAACATCCTTGGCAAAAGTGTGCACACCTCGAAAAGGGCTATGTTGAAAAACAAATAGAAACCATTGACTTTGTACAGATCTTTCACTGATAGGCTTGGAACTTTTCAGCTAGCCCTCGTATATGTTATAGTTTGTTGCTCTAGCCTGTTACAAAATGCCTCTAAAAGATCACTTATAAGATGTAATCACGTCGGTAGTTTGGTCTGTTGGACTTGACAGACGTTAAGCCCCTCTCCCATTCATGACAATGGGGCTTAACGCCCACTTCCATCTACAGTGGGGGATCACGTGGCTAAGTGGGTAAGACGCTAGCTCGCTAGCCTGGAGGTCGGGTGTTCGATCCCTGCATTGGCCGAGAAAGTTCATCCAGATTTTCCGGCGTGGTTCTCCCTTGTCAGTGATGCAGGACGGAGGGGCTGATAAGGAAATCTGTCTAGTCGTTCGGATGGGACGAAAAACCGAGGTCCCGTGTACACATTGGCGTGCACGTAACAGATCCCTTGGCAGTTGGAATTCGATATAAGAGTAGGCCGTAGTGCCGCTGTCCGGGCAAAATTTCCCTCATAGCACACTGTATGGCGTATGCCCGTCTTCATTAGCCCAGGTTAGGAGCAGAAAAGTAGGACGTTAAACTCCATTTCATTTCATTTCATTTTCCATCTACAGTGATACCACAGACAACCTTAAGCGGGGGGCTAACCGACCTAGTCCCCGCCGAAATTCGCCTAGTGTATCCAGAATAAGACACACTGTAAAAAATAATTCTGTAAAAAAAAAAAAAAAAAAAAAAAAAAATTCGGGCAGCAGATTTAACCAGATTTTTTTTTCTGTAAATTTTATTTATGTTTCTCGTAAAATACAGATAAAATTACTGGACAAAATCTGGTAAATATTTTGCCTTCTCTAGACCCGTTATCGTGGGGAGAAGAATACGAACCCGGATTATGCAAAAACATTTTTTAGAAATTAAGGCGTTACTTTAATCCGGGTTTATTATCCTGTAAATTCTTTTTAGAAAAACGTCCAGCCATGCGATAAGACTTACACGGACGGATCCCGGGGTATTCTAGCGTGTCTTGTCGTACCCCTTAAATTACTTAAAGAGGCACGCCCAGATAGCAGCACGCCAGTTCATTTTGGTTAAAATCCATTTTACTTATTTTTGTCTGAAGTAAATAGCCGAATGTATTAAAATTATGTTCATGTTGTCTGTGAAGTTTCACGAAAT